GAAAAAACCGTTGAAGAACGATAAAGTACCAGACTGTGCCTTTTTATAGATTTTCATTAAATCAGAAATTCCTCGCATACAGATTTTTATACAATCAGGAAGCTGCGTGTCCAATTTTAGGTTCAATATTATAGAAAATTCGAAAAGTATTAGTAAAATAACAAAAAAGTACCAGAAAGTATCCTTTTTAAATTTTCGTTCAATTAGGATTCTGCGTGTTTAGTTTTATGTTTATATATTCAATATTTTAGAAAACTCAAAAAGTACCAGATGAAGTACGAAAAAGTACCAATAAGTTCCATTTTATAGATTCCCATTTACTCCGGACTCTACTTGCTTAATTTCATGTTTCTAGGTTAAATTTTATAGAAAACTCAAAATGTACCTTTGTAGAACCAAAAAGTTCAGAAAAGTCCCTTAATTATTAATTTCATGTTTCGATTTCAATATCATAGAAAACTCAAAAAGTACCAGTTGGAGAATGAAAAAGTACCCATTAGCATATTTAGTGTTTCTTGAATAAAATCAAATTTCCCGTTTTTACCCCTTTTGGTACTTTTTTCCTCCCCACTAACGAAATAAAAATTCTGTTCCAAAAAGTTGCAACATCGTATTGGGAGCCCGTTATTATGTATTCATATGTATAAGTTAATAAACCAAAAACAATGTTTTATAAAAAAGTACCAAAAATAGGTACAATTTTCACCCCTTAAACGTCCGAATATTCAAAAAGTACTAATTCATATTTTTATTTCTTCGTCAAGTTATGAAGAATTCAAAAATATTTTTTGAATGTTCTCTGGTTTAAAAGATACATGGGGTGCAAAAGAAGTACCAAATTACAGTTTTTACCCGTTTATTCCCCAAAAGGACCGAATTTGAAAAAATTACCGGATACCTATCCGCTTTTTTTTAATGAACGACGATAAGCTTTAACTGTTTTTGTAACTTTTCCAGTTTAGGAGATTTGAGGTTACCGAATTTACGTTTTTACCCTTTTTTAACCCCAAAAAAATTCGAATTTCCAAAAATCCCGTCTTATTGGATACATTTGGTGGGATACCAACCTCCTGCCCAAATTTCAGCTCTTTAGCTTCAACCGTTCAACCGTGACGATGAATCAGTCAGTCAGTCAGTCAGTAACGTTAGAATTTTATATACATATGTATATAGATTTTGTGCATTGAATTATACTGTAAAAACATTGTAATGTTCGACTTGAATTCAAGTTTCGTTTTCACTTGAGAATGCTATTGAATTGAAGTGTAATGAAAATGTATTTCAACACTTGAAATTTGAATGTTTGACTGGAATTAAACTTGTTTTAAACTTTAATTCCAGCAAGAATGCTTATTTGGTATAGTCCCACAATGGTTAGTACCAATATTTTGCCCAAACAACATCTACATACATACCTAACCAGGTTATATCCTCTAGGTCCGTGAAGACATTCTCTACAAAGCTATAAATTTGTATAAAAGGCGGATTACCAATTGTTTCTTGTAAATATTCTGCCACCATAGTGTTTGGAGACAACAAGAGCTTCACTGAAAGGCACACCAGACAGACATCGCTCTATTATGGGTGTATGGCAGTGATTCTGCTGAGATCAATGGTATAATAATAAGTATGTATCCTTGTGGTAACCCCTGGATACGGCAATCAGCGTCCGTCCATTGCCTCTAGGTGATAATATACCATGTCACCACTAGCCGACCGACCACCACCCGCCTAGGTGACTAAGGAGGTATACAATTGCCACTCTCTTGTGGGCATTCTTCCAGGAGACCATCATGATGCCTCCTCTTTCTTGAAAAGAAAGACGTTCTTTATAGACAAATAAATAATTAATTAACACCCTTACTTACATTTTTTAATTTTCTAGATCTCACAAATATGCCAAATCTAAATTTCAATAAACACTTTTGGGTATTAAACGAAAACAAACCCCGCCTGGAAAAACATTTTCATCATAGTTATTAACCATTTAACTAAATTAAACCCAACCCAATCTTATTAATTTCAATTGTTAGTAAAATTATTTAAAGAATATCATTTCTTATCATTTTTGCACACACACAACAACAAATTTTTTTGCAAATAAAAAATGCAGAATACAGTTTTTTGGCGCGAAAAATTCTAGAATTTTTCCTTCAAACAGATTTTGTTTGATGTCGCATTTAAAATACATTTGTTTGACGACCTAGGAAACTCTGGTTTGTCAAACAGCAATGTATTTTTCGTATCTCGTGTTTGCTACAAATAAAAAGTGTTTGAAGTCGAAGCAGCGACCCGCTGGGTTGACGTCAACAAAGCTGGTTTGAAGTTTTAGCAGCGACTAAAATTAGGCGCGTAAAACACGAAAATATCTGAGGCGAAGCATATACATCGAACGTTGAGCAAAGTTCTACACCGGCCAAATTTCAATGAGCGGCTTATTATTAGATGAAAGAAAACTTACTTAAATGAAAACAAATTAATTTTATATTGTAAAATTCCATAAATTTAGCGAAAGTGTTCTGTAAATTGTACAAAATATGGAGAAACTTTCAAGCCGTATTAAGCTGAAAAATGTTCGGCGGCGGCGGCTTTGACATTTGGTTCGGAGGCTAGGCTTAGTCGGCTAAAGCAGAAACGGCGCAAGTCTCTGTTAGCAACAGCTGTTTTTGGATAGGGTTGTATTTAAGGGCGTTATTACACTAGCAAAACATAGTAACGTGACCAACTAATAATAGTTAAATAAGAATATGTATATGTATTTATTATGAATAAATGAAACACAGATTAAAAATAATGCATTTCCCAGGACCATTATGATTATGTGTTTTTATTATAAATTTAATCAAATGATTAAAGACCCCCAGATATCTTCGATATCAAAATTAAGCACTTAGAGCCTGGAGTAAATGAGAATCTATAAAATGGGTACTTTATCGTACTTCGACTGGTACTTTTTGAGTTTTCCATAAAATTAAACCTTGAAACATAAAAATAAATATGTAGAGCCCGGCGTAAATTATAATCTACAAAAAGGGACTTTTTAGTACTTTTTCGTTCTTCGACTGGTACTTTTTGAATTTTTTATAATATTGAACCTAGAAACATGAAATTAAGAATGTACAGCCCGGATTAAGTGATAACATATAAAAGGGGACTTTTTGGTACTTTTTCGTTCTTCAAAAGGTATTTTTTGAATTTTCTATAATATTGAACCTATAGACATAAAATTAAACCTGTAGGGCATGGAGTAAGTGAGAACATATAAAACGGGACTTTTTGGAACTTTTTCGTTCTTCAACTGGTTCTATTTGAATTTTCTATTATAATGAACCTAAAAACACAAAACTAAGCAATCAAAGACTTGAGTGAATGGGAATTTAAAATGGAGTATTTCTGGTAATTTTTCGTTCTTTAACTGGTACTTTTTGAATTTTCTAAAATATTGAATATATAAACATAAAATTAAACACGCAGTATCCTAATTGAACGAAAATTTATCTCGCTTACATCCATTTTGCAAAAAGGGCTCGATATCAATCGAAATCTCTATAGGCCATAATTGACCCTGCCCCCTTCAATAATTGATTTTAACGTTTTCTATGTACTTAATAATACCATAATAAAACAATTTTTGTTGGAACGAAAATATGTAATGTAAATATGTATATGAAATCTTCTTCAACAAATGACTTAAACGCACATAAATGGCTTTCAAATGTCGATGTCTACGAAAAAAACATTTTTAGGAACCGAAACCTACATTTATGAAAAATAAAATTATGAGGATCGGTCCGTCAATATAACCCTCTTACAGAAAATCAGTTTATAGCTAATACATCATTCCAAAAGTTATCATTATGATAGAATTATGGTAGAATTAAAAATAATACTTTAAATTATAGAGAACTTTGTCCATAATTGATCCAATTCCACATTTAAGCCCCTAATCCGAAAATCACGGTGACGTTCTTATTAATCTAATGATCAAAGTCCATATATATATATATATATATATATATATATATATATATATATATATATATATATATATATATATATATATATATATATATATATATATATATTATATATATATATCTATATATATATATATATATATATATATATATATATGTATATGACCACTTCCAAAATTTGCTTTTTTACGACTGATTTACCGAATATAACTCTTACTTCTTACTTAGTTTAATCATAAATTACCGCTAAAATTGGAATAGTCTGCCTCTAGAGTTCCAAGTTTTCATACACTCTAATAATGTTTTCAAAGTGAAACTTTTGGAATATTTTTCAATCTCTTTGTGATCCCTTTAAATGATGTTGTTCTGGAAGAACTTTAACATCCATGTAAACATTTTGGGTAATAAATTGGGGGACTACCAATGAGGGGAGCGGAACCTCCCATATGAATTAAAAACAAAAATTCGTTTATCTAAGAAACTAATAGAACTAAATTCTTAAAATTTTGCACGAAGAACTTTAATATTCATTTGAACATTTTGGAGAAAAAAGGGCGGACTTTCATCTGGGGGTTGCTTGAATTAAATAGAAAAATTCGTATATCTGAGAAACTATTAGAGCTAGAATCTTCAAATTTTACTGACTTTCAATGGGGGGCTTGGCACTTCCCATATGAATTTAATACAAAATTTTGTATATCTGGGAAGCTATTAGATTATTCAAATTTTTCAGAGATTAAATTAAAATCTTAATTAACGTTCGGAATAATTGGCGAAATTGCAATAATTTGCGTGGAATCTTCCATATGTAACAAATTGTATATCTGGAAAACCATTGTAGTTAGAATCATCAAAATCGTTAAGCACAGCACACTGGGTATAGCTAGTAAATAAACAAACAAAAAATCTTTGTTTTTACGTTATTGATCATTTTCTTAATGCAAAATTTTTTAGAAACTGATTTTCTAGATTTTCGATTTTAAGCCGCCGCCGACATATTTAGTGTCAGTCGCCGACGACGTTAATATTTGTCGGCGCAGGGCTCTGAATCGTCGCCATTTTTTTCTTCACCTAGAAAATTTTTTCATTCATCTGCGTTAGTATATTGAACGTGTTAAATTATAGAATTTATTTATTTAAATAAGGAAAAATTGCTTAAAAATATTAAAAACGAAGTTAACTAAAAGAAATTAATAAAAAATGAGTGATATGGAAATATCCTCAATGGGTATTGCCCAAAATTTGCCACCGGACTCTTACGACACTGGTGCAAATATGGGTGCTCCGTCTACAAATGCCGAAGATGGAATTTATCATGAAAAATCTGATGATAAAAAGTCAAAAAGTTCCAAGGATGAACGTTCTCCTTCTAAAACTAAAGATTATGGTAAAGATAGAGAACGCAGTGAGCGTGAACGTGATCGGGAAGATAGGGACAAGAGTCGTAAGAAAAGGTGAGTTGGCTGGCTAATTTACGAAAATATGTAATTTCATAATAAAATGCAATTTTCTTAGGGATCGTTCCAGAGACAGGGACCGTGAAAAAGACAAAGATAGGGAACGTACGCGTGACCGCGACCGTGATCGAGACAGAGATCGTGAACGTGATCGTAAACGTGAAAGTCGAGAACGAAATGAGCGCAGTAGTCGAGACCGTGATGTAGATCGAGATCGGCGACGACGCGACAGAGATAGAGAACGTGATTCACGTTCACATCGTAGTCGATCTCGCACCTATGACGATTACGATTCCAGACGTGGCAGTCGGCGACGTTCCCGTAGTCGTGATAGAGATCGTGATCGTCGCAGGGATTATCGCGATAGAGATCGAGAACGTGATCGTTCTCGTAGTCGTAGCCATGAACGTTCTCGAAGACATACTAGTCGTGATCGTACACGCAGTCGCGAGCGAGATCGTGTGCGTCGCAGTCCTTCACGTGAAAGATTCCCGAATATGCATTTGGAACCTATAAAGGAAGAAGTACCGCAAGCACGCTTTGACTTGACTCAAACTATACAAGAACTTATGAGCAGCACTTCCAATAATAAGCATTTTGCTGCTCTCTTCAATTGCAACAATAGCAATGATTCTACTTCAAATGGTCCTACAGAAATGTCTCGTAAGTTATTTATCATTTATTAAATTCTTATTAAATTAATTACTTTTTCCATTTTTGCAGAAGAAGAAGCTGCTGAACGTAGACGCCGTCGTAAATCTCGTTGGGGTGGTACTGAAAATGATAAAACTTTTATACCCGGCATGCCGACTATATTACCCTCTACTTTGGATCCCACGCAACAGGAAGCGTATTTAGGTAAACTATTTACTATTTTGAAATTCTATTCTATAGTTTTAAGTGTTACTTTTAGTTTTAAGTTTTAGTCCTAGTTACTTTTGTGACAGAAAAAAGTAAGTGTAAATTAAAAACCAAAAACAAAAATTTAGCATCTTATTATTAGGCTGTTTTTTAATAAACCTTCACCTTACATCATTGAACAAATCGTGCACAATATAATGGATAAAAGGAGTCAATCGCCTACAAAATAAAAAGGAATATCCTAAACGTTCGGAGAGATACAATTTTTCTTAAAAAAAAAACAAACAAAATAAAACTAATTAAATAATCTTCGTTTTCTTTTTGAAGGCAACTTTCCCAAACGAATGAAATACATAGAAAGATAGCCCTTTCTACTTGGATAGAGAATAGAGTATAGCATGATAATAGAACATGGAAAAAACATCGTGATGTTCCAGCAACAGTTTATTATTAATTACTTTTACTAATAACAACTTCTTTTTAGTTATTTCCAGTTTTAGTCAAATCTAAATTGTATATAATCTAACAATATATATTTTATGTATATTTGTGTGTAAATATGACCCATTTAAATTTGCTAAATAATTTAATTTATATAATTTATTTTCTCCAGTTTTGTAAGTACTCCTCGTGTACTCAAAAGTATGTTGTTCATCATTGCCCGTTTGTTCGTAACCCTCGCAAAAAAAAACAAATTTCCCTACATAACGTACATACTACATACATATGTGTAACAACAGCATTATTTTTAAAAAATGTTTTATAAATACAAACTATTTTATTTCATATCTTTTACAACGATTGATTACAATTTTACTAATAACGAGGCTTTGCCCTCGCCTCTTTTTTTCTCTCTTCTTTTTTCTTAATCTGTCATTCTAATTGCAGTTCAACTACAAATTGAGGAAATAAGCCGTAAGCTGCGTACTGGCGAATTGGGTATACCACAGAATCCGGAAGAAAGGTTTGCATCTTTAATAAACATACAACTTTATTTAAGCAAAAAACTTTGTTCTTATCAAGCCTCTCAGCCTTTAAAGCTTTAAACGAATTTTTTTAATGGCCGAAGGAACGTCGTTATTCTGTTCCAGCATAGAGACAAACTCTTGGACATGGAAAACGAACTGATAACAGGTTTTTTTTGTGATGTTTTGTTGAAAAACAATCCATCATATTTATTTATTTTTTAATTTTTCTTTTATTTTATTTTGTATAAAGGCTTTAAACAGTGAAGAGTAGTGTGGTTTAAGGAAATTATTATTTTGCTTTTGAGAGTGTATGATTTTTTATGGATAAATATGGTTTGGAAAACACTGTGTGTGATAGAGTACTATCTGAGCTTACAATGTATATATTTCTACAATGATTTATGGAAAATGTTAAGGCTAGTTTTGACTAATAGTCTAAAGTTGAGTTTATGGTCAAGTCCACAATCTTTTTTATAGTTTTGTTTATAGGCCCGTCTATAGTATAATCCAGACATGTAAAATTTAAAGTTTAATATAGCATTAATTTTTTTTTCTAACAATATTTCGGGTTTTTTCCCTTAACTTGATTACATGCTATAGACTATTATAATAATTAGTTTATGGAGTATTCAATTAACTAGTGAATAGATTTTTCTATGTACTAGTAAATAGAATAGTCTCTAGACTATTGATTTGCTATTAATTAGTCAGTAGAGTTGTCAACTATGGGATAGTCTATTGACAATTATATTACTTAGTCTATGGATTATTCTATTAACAAGTCTATTAATTAGACCACAGATTAATGTATGGACCAAATAGCAAAATTTTTTAGGGATTATTATGGAGGAGATAGAGAACGTAGTGAACGTGACCGGGATGTTAGTGGCAAGAATCGTAAGGAAAGATGAGTTGGCTAGTTAATACATAGTTTATTTAAAATTATACTCGATAGTATAATCCATAGATTATATAATCAACTAACCAGTCTATTGATTAATCTATTGCGTTGTCCATTGATTGTTCTATGTTCTAGTCTATTGAATAGTTTATGGACTAATTCAATAGTCTATTGACTAGTCTATTTGGATAATAGATTAACTATTGCCAAGTGATAGTCTTCTTAACTTATGGAATACATAACAAAAGTTTATGATATAGAAAAAATGATGTGGTATTTTTTATATCGGAAAGTACTGAAAATAATATAGAATTTTCCATTCCGTAACTCGACTATAATTTATTTATTTTATAAGTAACTGTAGAATCAAGTTTACAGTCTACTCTGCAGTAGTCTGGTACAGTATTAGGGCATGCAACACTAAAAATAATTATTTTGTAATATGATAAATATAACAAAAGGTTCTAGCACTGGCTCTAGATTTTAACTTAAGCTTTTATGCTGATACTTTAAAAGAGTATTAAGTATTAAGAACAAAGCCTCTCAGCATTTAATACGTACATATTTATATTAGTAAAAATAACTTATAAGCAGGACAGACTCTTTTAAACTTAATTAAATAAAATTTTACTTTACGTATACACATATATTTAGTGGTAAATATGGCAGTAGTTTAAAGAAAAAAATACTAATTAAACAATTTTCCTCCCTATTAGATCTCTAGGTAAAACTAAAACACAAAAGACAAAGACAAAACTCTTAATAAGATCAAAAAGAAAATGAAAAAAAGGGGTGAAACATTAGAGCACCAACCATATACAGACCACACATGTAAGCAAGCAAAGTACATGTATTATTTTTATAACAGATCAACATAAAAAAATTATTAATTAAAAACAATTTTCTTTTTTCCTTAAGGAGGGTTAAAAAAAGTAAATGGCGATCGTGTAAACTGAGCTAGTCAAGTCAAACATGCCACAATTCACGCCTAAAGAAGGCAGTGACTTTAAAAGAAAACTAAAAACTGAAAAAAATGACTAATCTTATTTAAAACTAATGATATTAATCAAAATTTTTCTTTTTTCCCTTCCTCAACTTTGAAAACAGCTATAAAATATATTAATTAATCAATTGAACAATTAAACTAAAATAATTTAATTCAAATTTGCAGGATTTCAGAAATTAGGATTTTACTTTAATAATAATTAGAAAATAAGTTATTTTTATTTAAACATTTCCTGTTTAAAGTTAAGGTTTAAAATGCAACAGTTTCTAATACATTATGTTTTTCTATTTTGTTTATTTATTAGGTCTCCCTCGCCGGAACCAATTTATAGTTCGGATGGCAAACGGTTGAATACACGTGAATTTCGTTATCGCAAGAAATTGGAAGAACAAAGACATCAATTGATACAGAAAATGCAGGCAGTTAATCCTGATTTTAAACCGCCAGCAGATTACAAGTGAGTAAACAATTTTATATTTAAAGTTTTCTTTATTAACTGGGTACTCTCCTCCGTAGGCCACCAGTAACACGTGTTATTGACAAAGTTTTAATACCCCAAGAACAACATCCTGATATTAATTTTGTGGGACTTTTAATTGGCCCCCGTGGCAACACATTAAAAGCCATGGAAAAAGAAACTGGCGCTAAAATTATTATCAGAGGTAAAGGTTCTGTCAAGGAGGGCAAGGTGGGACGCAAAGATGGTCAACCTTTGGCTGGAGAAGATGAGCCATTACATGCTTTTATTACTGCACCCAATCCGGAGGCAGTCAAAAAGGCCGTTGATAAAATTAAAGATGTCATTAGACAAGGCATTGAAGTACCCGAAGGTCACAATGATTTGCGACGCATGCAATTGCGTGAATTGGCCCAACTAAATGGAACTCTACGCGAGACAGATTGTCCTCGTTGCACAAATTGTGGATCGGCCGAACATAAATCATGGCTTTGTCCTGACAAACCAAATGTCACCAATAGTATTGTGTGTACTTCTTGTGGTGGAGCCGGTCATATTTCGAAGGATTGTCGTAGCAAACGTCCTGGCGCCGGTGTTGTAGGTGCTGAAGCCGCTACTGAAAACTCTCAAGCTAAAATTGATGAAGAATATCTCAGTTTAATGGCTGAATTGGGTGAAGGACCACCACCCTCTGCCGCACAAAAGTCTACGGCTGATCCATTAGCACAAGCTCATATTAATCGTGGTTATAGTATTTTTGATAAAAAACCCAGTACTATGCAGGCTATACAAGCACCACCACCAGGTCCACCAAGTGGTATGCCACCATCAGGCATAAATGTTATAGCACCGCCACCACCAATACCTCCAGCTTGGGGACCATCTTCGAATGCACCACCCATGGGTATGCCGCCATTGATACCGCCTCCACCAAGTTCCCAACCACCACCACCAGCTGCTCCACCAGTAATGCCATGGATGAGTGCTGCACAACCCCCTCCACCAGGCGGCGATCCGCCACCACCTCCCGGCACTGGCCCATTACAACCACCAGGTACTGGAGCCATGCCCCCATTACTACCGCCACCACCAGGTACTGCACTTCCAGGTGGTTTGCCACCATGGCCCGGTGCGCCTGGTTTAATGCCTCCAGGATTTCCTGCTTGGGGTGCAGTACCTGGTGCATATGCACCTCCGCCACCTCCACCCCCTTGCGCTCCACCACCACCAGGTCTAAGTGGCTTAGCTCAACCGCCACCACCACCTCCGCCATCATAAGCAGTGGAATGAGCTGAAGTCAAACTAATTACAAGAATAAGAAAATCTACAAAATTAAAACTTTGTCAATTGGTTGAGGACTTGAAAAGTGTTGCAATCAATTAAACAACAGACAGACAGTCAGTGAATAATAATAATAATATATTTTACTTATTATTAAAGTAATTTTAAGTATCTATAACTAAAAAAAAAAAACTAAAATAGTTTGTGTTTTCCTTTAAAACATGTAGAAAGCATTAATTTCTACAACTAAAAATAATTCACGTAATTAAACCAAACTTAATAATGAATCAAAATTTATAAAACAAAAAACCCAAGCTATTTTATTAAATTGATTTGAATTACTTTAATTTTAAATTGACTATAATATTACGCATGTATCACTAAAGCGCGTAATTGCTTAAAACAAATACAACTAATGTAAACAAATATATAAATCCATTAATTTGACTATAATCAATAAAGTTTAAGCAAAAAATTTTAATTGGTTTTGAAAAAGAAGAAGAATAAAAAAATATATAAAAGCTAGCAAATGCATATCGAAGTTGAATAAATTTTTAATTTCGTATAATTTCTGTGGATCTTAGGTCGTAATTTTCGAATATGTAATATGATATCAAATTTGAAAAAGTCAAAAATTATTGAATACAGCATAATACAATTTTGTTGTATCATGGACTAAATTAAATTTTCCTAAGAATTAGATTATTATAGAATATATAAAGATACATATGTACATACATACGTTATAACGAGAATTCAACTTTATAAAATTTATTATTTCGTCCTATTCATTGGCTACAAAATAAAGGTTATTTTCCTATCATATCTTGTTCATCCTTAATTTGAAGTTTTAAAACTATATAGATTGGAAAAATAGATTTGTTTTTTGAATTTCTTTATAAATGGATATTGTGATATCTGGTTAAAAATGTGTATCTATAAATTATCTTCGATAAATTTTTAGTTATCGAAAGTTTCCGATAAACCGTATTTTAATAGACATGTATGCTAAATATTCTATTCTAGGAGGGATTGTCATTCCGTTGATAATTTCTTCAATGTAATTTGTCGACCCTATAAAGTAACTCCAGATATCTGGGAAATCCTAAACCTAAATAATTCAGACATACTCTCGAAAAGCTTCCTAGAAAACCGAAAATTCGATATAACCGAGTTCATTATAGACGAGTTTGACTGCATTTTTTATTCCAGAAAATAAAATCGATAAATCGTCTATTAAGGCTTTTTCAATAAATCATCTATGTGCCACAATTTATTTATTTATAGGACATTTTTAATATTTTATTGAAAATTTTTTGATCACTTCAAATTACCCACAAACAATTATTTATTTTCTATTAATTAAAAAATTAAGAATAATAAACAAAAATCAATAACATTTTGGGATAATTCTTTAAGAAATTGAATTTTATTCGAATCAATAATAAACATTACACAGATCTTTTGTAAAACTCAAATCAATTTTACAGTGCTTAATAATAAAAACCCTTTAACCATGTTTGTTGAAATATTCTTTGGATTCTTGAACATCGGGTTTGATAGTATCGGGATTTGATTCAGGATTCCAATTAGCGGGGCATACTTCACCGTGTTTCTCGACAAATTGGAATGCCTTGATTAAACGTAAAACTTCATCGACGGAACGGCCAACAGGCAAATCATTAATAGAATATTGACGCAAAACACCATTGGGATCAATAATGAAGGTGCCACGCAATGAAATACCTTCGTTTTCCAAAAGAACACCATAGTCAGAACTGATTTTCTTGGTAATATCGGAGAGTAGTGGGTACTTCAAGCCACCTAAACCGCCATTCTTGCGTTCAACATTTGACCACACCAAATGGGAAAAGTGTGAATCAACCGAAACACCTACGACCTCAGCATCAATATCTTTGAATTCTTGGATGCGATCGCTAAATGCAATGATTTCTGTGGGACACACAAAAGTGCTAGAATACACAATGGAATAAAATTATTTTGGAATCCATGTAGATATTAATTAGCCAGCAACTTACAAATCCAAGGGATAGAAGAACAATACCAAATATTTGCCAGCAAAATCAGACAATTTCAATTCTTGGAAATCATTGCCTACAACAGCAATACCTTGAAAATCAGGGGCAGGTTGTTGTACTTTAACGGCCAACAAAGGGGCAGCTATAAATAAAATGCAAAACAAAATGTCAGCCATCTACGAAAAACATTATGCTCCAACAGGCATTTTCACAACTTCCGATCATACTCACTTTGGTGCAAAAGACGTTTGTATGTGTTGTTACTATTTTGTTTTAAAATCTGTTTGCCCACTTGAGGAAGCTAGAAAAAATATGAGAATTTATAAAATGTAGGTACTTGTTGCCAATTACGTAATTGTAATTTTATATGTACACTGAATATTGTCAAAGGAAATATTTTGCAACTAATATTTATGCATTCTTTTGTTGTTATATTTGCCATAATACTTACAGCTCTAAAGAAATTTCTGGCCAAGAACGACATTTTTTCTGTGTTTTAATTAAATTGAAAACTTATTTTAACCGATTTATTGATAGAAATGCTTTATCAATAAAGTTGATTGTACGACCCGGCGTTTTTTTTTTACACAATGCAAAAATAAAAACAACAACAGAAATAAAGAATTCAATATGATTAGAAGTGTTGGCAAATGTTACAGTTGCAAAAAGCTCTTAATTCGAAATTATTTAATTGAAAGTGTTATTTTTTTGTATTTTTAAATAAATTTTATATTTTTTCAGTATTCCAGATAAATTTACTTTAGAAATTTACGATAGTTTTTTCATTTATCGGAAATTTTCGATCAATTTCGAAAAAAAATTATTTACAGAAATCGGGATATATTTCTTGAAAGTTTTCGAGAACTGTTAGTTAATTTTTTATTTATCGTAAATCTTCAAAGAATAAATTACCTATTTGTCGAAAATTTCATACATTTTCTATTTAAAGTAAAGTTTGAACGTTTTAGCTACATTTTCTATTTAAGGTAAATGTTTGATAATTTTGTTAACATTTTCTATGAGTTTTTCTATTTACAGAAAAGTTTTTCTATTTATAGAAAAGTTTTTCTATTTATAGAAAAGTTTTTCTATTTATAGAAAAGTTTTTCTATTTATAGAAAAGTTTGTAAAAGATTACAAAATACAAATTTATATAAAGTCACAAAAAAGCTACTAAAACCTCTAAATTATCAGCACTGACGATGATATGGAAGAATTAAATCGATAACAAACTTAGAGATGATATAGATGTTTTATTAAACAGGGTGAAACAGATAATTTGTATGGTTGAATCTTTATTTTATCCGTTAAATTTTAATTTACTTTAAAAAGAGGTACAAAGGACGGTATGTATGAAAGATAGGATTTTAATAATAATGAAAAACAAAATGGTGAATAATGTTAAATGTTACAAATGCTCTAAATGTGTTAACAATGGAATACATACACTTTTGTTAAAAATAGTATTATTTAGTAATACTTTGTACAAACATGTTAAAATACAGTAAACAACTTAAAAATATAGTAAATTAAAATATAACAAGTAACAAATTATAGTCGGGCGAGGCCGATCATATAATACCCTACACCTTTGACAAAAATATAATGTGATTTAGTTGCCATAATAAAGCATTTAAGTTGAATTGTACCTTGCCTTAGATATACATACTTAAGCCGTTTATTGTTGAATAAAATTGTGGACATTTAAGTGAAATTTTGATGGGGGCTTTTCATAGGGGCAAGGGTCATATGAGAACCTATTATTATGGAATTCGTGGGGGTCATCAAGTCTTGTATACAACTTGGTTATTGCAGCTTTTTGTCGAGATATGAGTATATTAAACATAATTATGAACTTAAAAGCCCTATTCGGCGGGTTCAGTTGTATGGGGGCTAGGTGAAATAATGGACCGATGTAAACCATTTTCAACAGGCTTCATCTGCGGTACCATAAAAGATCATGTGCCAAATTTCATTGAATTATCTCCAAAATTGCGACCTGTAGTTTGATTACAAGTTTTAAAAGCCCTATTCGAGGGGTTCAGTTGTATGGGGGCTAGGTGAAATAATGGATCGATGTAAACCATTTTCAATAGGCTTCGTCTACGGTACCATAAAAGATCATGTGCCAAATTTCATTGAATTGAATTTTAAAAGCCCTATTCGAGGGGTTCAATTGTATGGGGGCTAGGTGAAATAATGGACTGATGTTAACCATTTTCAATAGCCTTCGTCTACGATACATTAAAAGATCATGTGCCAAATTTCATTGAATTATCTCCAAAATTGCGACCTGTAGTTTGATTACAAGGATTACAAGCCCTATTGGGGGGTTCAGTTGTATGGGGGCTAGGTGAAATAAAGGACCGATCTTAACCATTTTCAATAGGCTTCGTCCCTGGGAAAATAGAAGATCATGTACCAAATTTCATTGAATTATCTTCAAAATTGCGACCTGTAGTTTGATTACAAAGTTTACATGGACAGACGGACGGACGGACATAGCTAAATCGACTCAGAAAATGATTCTAAGCCGATTGGTATACTTTAAGGTGGGTATACGACCAATATTATTATTATTAACCCAATATACCCTCCCCACTAAAGTGGTGTAGGGTATAAAAATCTATACAGCATTAAAGAACTATTATACCAAAAAGTATCCTAGATTTAGGAATAAATAAAACAGAGATCTAAAGACTATATATTCCCGCAAAAAAAAAAAAATATACAAATTACTTCATGCAGATGTATTAACGCTTTTCTCCATCCATGTAAATGTGGGTATACTTTGAACACTCTCCCATACTCGTTTATTGACATTAATTACAAAATTACTTAATTTGCTTATTTTTCCCTAAACAGGCGCCTTTGTTTGGAATGTTTTTGGGATTTTCGGAAAATAACCATCATTTTCTCGAATGAAATATGTGAAATGCTTTACTTTCTGATTGTAGCATAAAAACAGTGGTAAAATGTTTGTCTTAATACATTCATTTTTACATACAATGTATAGCGTATTTTTAAATAAAATCAGAGTTTTGAAAGAATGTAATAAAAACTTAAGCTAATGTAAACAAAAGTTTAATTAATACCACATAGATATAAAATAATTGAGGATTATGGAACCTTATTTTGAAATATATAAAATTTATAGAATTCAAAGTTACAAAGTACATATGTACATACATATATATATTAGACCGACTCTGTATGGAAAGTAAAATCATGTGTTTATTATAACAAATTTACAACAATTGATCTGGACTAAATTCAAGAAAGGTAGTTTTTAAATAACTTTTCTAATTTTAGTATTTTTCAATAATATATCCAATATGGGTATTTCTTTAAAGGGGTTATAAAGACGCATTCAATGGTGTATGTAATCCATGCAATTTATTAGGATTTATCAGGGGAATTGGTCGTTCTTTCCGTT